CAATGCTGCTTGCGCTGGGCTTTGGAAAGATTTGCGGCAGCTCGTTCACTCGATACTCAGTCATCTGGTTCTCAGAAATAGTTTAATGTTTAAACCCTTTCAAGTAATTTCAAATATTTAATATTCTTGATATTTAGCTTTAGATGCGCTAACTGCAATGACAATCTTTGCAAATTTAACTTTTGATTTAGAAGATTTCAAATATAGCCCTTGAACTTTTGCGATCCTGCACCCTGTATTCGCTTATTATTCCGAACTAAGCGATAACATCATACATCATGATTTAGCTTTGAGTATTTAGCTCGCAGTCAATCGGCTATCGGCACTAAGCTCACCACTCATCCGCGCAGCTTTCGGGACTCGGCACTCGTCCCGATTGAGTCGTTCTCCCCATATCCGCTCGCAGGTCCAGTCATGTGGTCTGTGGCACGAGAAAAGCTTCCCAGGCCGAGCGAGAGCTTTTACGTTCATTTACGCTCAAAAGCTGGCGGCAATATTGATTGCTTGCCACAGGCCAGTGGAGCGGGGTGCGGGGTGCGGCGGGTGATGGGTGGTGGGCGGTGGGCGTGGAAGTGGGAGTGGGCGAACTCGCTTTGCAGCTACTCGCTGGGAGCTTAACCCTGCACTGGCTGCGGCTGGTCGAAACGGCAAGTTTCCTGCAGCCGAAGGCCTGCGCACGACGTGTGCTGCACTTCTCGAGCAGCTGACTTGCGGGCGGTCCCACCTCTGCCACCTGCCACCTGCCACGCCCCCAATCCGGATCAGCCGCCCACCCGCACCCATCATCAGAAATGGCCCCAGCAAATGGCATGCCGCCGCAAGCGCCGTGGCCCACAAAAGTAGGCAACACTTTGCATATTAAGGCAGCTTCCATACAATTATTATGCTAAGTGGGCAACTCATTAGGCAGTCATTTGTTTTCGGATATGCCAGTACAAATTGAATGCCTCTGCGTCCGGCTAATCGATAATTCGTAGTGAAAACTCCCACCGCCACCTGTCTCCTAAATGCATTTGTATCTCCTTAACACACTTAACTTGCAGGGGTTTTTTTCCAGCGACTGGAAAATGAATTTTGCGGTAGGCCGCGTAATTATTTTATGCTCCCCCAGCCCCCACCCGCAAAAAAAAACAAAGCGCGCCGGCAACCAGCAGCATAATATATCAAGCGTTGAGCGCGGCCCACTGCCAACCATAACGAGCTCCAAGTACCCAGCACCCAGTCTCCCCTCGTGGCGCCATGGTAACCCCAAGTCTTCCGTGCCCATGCCCATTATTATTTATGCGTATGCATAGGACACAGGGCTGGTTCCTTCGCCGGCAACTTTATGTGTGCGGGTGTCGTGTGAGTTTTATTTAGTGACCTGCGAGTGAAATGCCTGCCACAATCGGCTGGCGCTGCCTGGGGGAATTTAATACGCAGGCGAGCAGTATTTTATGGTTTTTCTGTCAGGTATTAAAGCCATATGCAGTTTAAGCCCTTAAATTTACAACGGCGCGAAATTTTCACTGCTTCCTGGCCTTCTTTAGTTCAGCCCCTCAATTGCGGCACAATTTATGAGCTATTCAGCTAAAGTTGGGCAATCGCCAGTGATTAGACCAACAATTAGTGCATTTATTGCTCTTTTATATTTAGAAGCTGATATTGAATAATACTGCAAAGTGGCTTTGATGGAGCTGCACTTCAAGTAACTTTTCAGACGTTCCTTTCCAGCAAGTATGCATCCTTTCCCGGATTGTCCCAATTCAGAGCCACTTCTGAGGTTCGGCCCCAACGCACTTGAGTCCGCTCCTGAAGCGGCATGTGCCAATCCCCGTAAGACATCCACAGCCCCGTTCACCCCTTTTAGCCCGTTTGGGGACCGGCTTAGGTTGCTAATTAAAATTCAGCCATTGGCATCGTTTTGCATAGTTTCTAATTTGCCAGGGCGTTGCGAGAAGATAGAGGGGACAGAGGGGGCAGAGGGGGCAGGAGGGGGCGGTACAGGACATAGAACCGAGTGAGGGCGAGCCAAACAACATGAATATTTGAATATGGATCTGTGTGGTCTGGCATACTGAGCAGCATGCTAAGCTTTGGTCAACGGCGGTCGTGGGTTAAGACGGGTTGGATTGGCCCTGGTAAGGTCTTAAGCTCAGAAGCGTTCTCCTTATACATCGCATTTGGCATTTAGCATTTTTTGTTTTTCTTCTACGAGTAGCGAACACACACTCACCCTTACCCCTTGCTCCTCCTGAGCGAATTTCTTGATTTCACGCTCCAAATCAAGCTGTCTCGTTGTTGTTGTTGCGGGTTTCAGCCAAAGTGAGAAGGTTGAGCATCGCATAAGTTTGTTAGATTTGAGTACACATATTATGTATGTATATGTATGTGTGTAGATGTAAGACGAAAGTTTGGGCATCCAGCAGACAAAGTGGCGTCGGTTAAATGGCCATAAGAAGCTGACAATAAAACCAAGTGGGCCCCCCACCACTCGAATTCGCATTTTCCAGCAAATACAGGCGCACACACACATGCGTGTGTGTCCTGCTCCTCCGGCTTACATAAGAGTGAAAAAAGTCGATTCAATGCGGCTCAGCTTGGGCCAACTTGCTAAACAAAATGAATTATTGAAAGTTTTTCGCCCGAAAGAGGGTTAAAGGGGCAGGGTGGCCGTTGCAGCTGCAGCTGCAATAAATAGAATCTGCGCCCCGAAAATAGGAAATGTAAAACGCAGTGGCCTCGAAAGAACTGCGCCACCGATTGCTCTCTTTTTGCGGCCCTGTTAACGTGGCGAATACGCAACAACTTTTAATTGCTCGCCCATCAGAAGGTACAAAAAAAAAGGGAAAAAAGCGGTGGGCGAAATTTGTTTTCTTTTGTGTATGGTTGTGGGTGGCTTTTTTCTTTGGGCTGATTTTTAATTACTGCTGTCCGGCCGTGTAACTAAGCCGCATTTCCGCCCACCATTTGTTTGCTTTATCAGTGACAAATTAATTTCGAGCCTCGCCAATCGCCACTTGCCGGTCAAGGCGCGTTCCATTCAATTGGTATAATACAGTGCTATATACGAAGGACCTCCAAACCCACTGGCTGCAGAAAAAGCGAAAAAAAGAAATGTACAAAGCCTTACGCAGAAATGAAATGCGATTCCCGAAAAATGCCAGTGGGCGATGAGCCAAAAAAGATGGGCGGCGAAAACGCCATTTGAATACTTATTGTGCAGGGAGTGTGCACCATGGAAATGGTGGCCCCAAAAGGATGTTGAGCTCATGCAAATGGCTTAACGCCACGGGGACTCAGTGCAGAGCTGAGATAAAATACGAAGTTCGGCATTCATGGCAGAGCAGTGGCCATTCTTAGCTAATATCTGTCATTTTTATGGCCAAAGCACATGGATAATATGCAAATTTAAACTCCGAGGCTGACCCTTTCCCAAGCTTTTATTCTCGATATCCATAGCAATGGACAGCTGAGTGTTTAAAGTGTTGGTAATTCGATGACTTCACAGAGAATACTTGAATGCCAACCGGACAATGAGAACATTTTCCATTTGCACAGCGTTTTCCCATTGGACTGCTCCTTGGCCGGCGTCGCTTGTCCTTAAATAGATTTTGTTTCTGTACCAAGGTTATTTATGCTGCCCACTGGGAATATGCCCAACTGTCTGACCAGGCTTTTCCCATTTTCCACCCATTTTCCTTCTCTTCCCTCTCAGCACTTTATATTTTCTGTGTGCCTGGCTGCCTTTTGTTTCGTTTTCGTTTGCGCTTAATATTACGCATACGCCGTGTGTGTTTGTGAGGGAGTTTAGCTCGGGGCACACATGTAATTAAAGGGGGTGGGGTGGGTTAAGAATTGTTGTACGAATCGGGATCAGTAATAAGCAGTTGGCTGTTTGTCGTGTCCTTGGGGAGGTCGACGGGCGGAAAGTTAAGCTGCAGCTGCAGCGGCAACTTCGGACTTATTTCAGATTGATTTCCCGGGGGGAGGCATTACGTTGCCGCCCAGGCCTTCGCCGATAAATAATGGAATGCAACAATGGAGGGGTAAATGCACTTTTCCTGGAACTGGCAGTGCATTACTGCTGCATACATAAATGGGGCACGCGAAGATGCCTCCATTGTGGCGCCGAAAAGAGTGCAACAAAATCGAGATTTTATTGGGTGGCGAACAAAGAAATGACTAAGCTGCTGTCGGAGTGTGCGTGGGTGTGAATGGGAGTGTGAGTGTGTGTGTGAGTGTGTGTGTGAGTGTGTGTGTGAAGGTGTAGTGGGTGTGTGGGAGTGTGGGTGCACTGCACTTAATGTTAATTTGAACGACGTTCATTGATGTCGACTGCCTCCACTGTCCTCATTCGCGTCGGCACAAAGTTGCAAATTAATTAAGCGACAACGGCAACAAGAACAAAACAGTACGAAATATGCAAAACATGTAGCAAAATAAATGGAAAGTGTCAGGCGTGTGTCTGGGTGTCCATGTGGGAAATGAAAAATCAACAGTGGGAAACAGTGTGAAAACACTACGAACAACTCAAGCTTTAGTTGGCATAAAAGCGAACATATTCTAGGCTCTACTTATCCATTTTTTTCTTGTATTGTAACTATATTGTAACAGTTATAAAGCGGTAAGTATTTATAAGATGTAGTATATGTGTGGGTATATCGAGTATATAAGGCTTAAGGTCTGCGTGTGCGTGTCTCGGGTTAAACAAAAAGTGTTCAAAGTTCTGATGTTGCATCAAAATGTATGGAACTCAAGATGCATAAAAAGTGGAGTGTTCTTCGTATTCAGAGGGAGAGGCCAGGCGGGGAGAAAGGGAAATGGGGGAAAGTCTCCCTTTCTCCCCAGCTGACCGTGTACGAAATCATTCTCTAGAGCATTGTTTGCCGAACGAAAGAAAATTAGAGAGATAGTTTGACAGAGACATATAGAAAGGTTGGCTGAGAGTCAGGGAGCGAGAGTGGGGCTCGACCTCGTTCCAAGTGGCCAGGGGCTCCAAAGCATATGATCGGTCTTACCTGCTTCTGGGCCATCGCCTGCATCTGCTGGAACATCTGGCGCTCCTCCTCCTTGCCTGCAAGCCATTGAGGACGTCATAAGTACAAGTGGTGCTCCATGATTCATGCACAATCGAAGGACTCACCCATTCCCTTGGCCTGCAGCATTTCCAGCAGCTTCTTGATGCTCTCGTCGCGGGCAATCAGTGTTTGCTTCTGGGTCTCCACCCGGCACTCGAGATCCTTGATCGTCTCGCGCAGGATGCTGATCTCCCGCTGCAGGTGGTCGTTCTCCGCGTAGATCGCCTCCATCTGCTGCTGCATCTCCAAGTTGGGCTGTCGCATCCGCAGGCGCAGCTCCTCCTCCAGCTGGCGCACCAGCATGGCTTGTTTCTGTGGAGGGCGTCGTTTAAATTGTTAACAAAACATACTTGCTTATAGCATGTCATCGAAACCATATAGAAATGAACACTTGTGTCGCATTATTCTTACAGTCAGTTAGATTAGCTAGTTAGATAGACTAACCAATCCAAATTGATGATATCCGCACTCACCTGGTTCTCCGTGCTGAGCAGCTTCAACTGATCGTTGATCAGACTGTACTTGGCGCTCTCCTCCTTGCGCAGTGCCCGCTCCTTCTTGAGCTCCGGCGACCAGAAGGTCTTGATGCTGTGCATCGAGCTGCCCAGCTTCTGGTTGGTCAGCTCCAGCTCCCGCTTCAGGTTGCCCAGCTCCCGCTGCAGGTCGGTGTTCTGGTGCTGCAGGTCGCCCAAATAAGCTCGATCCGATGTGGGGCCCATGCCCGTATTGTAACCACCCATGGCGCTGGGGCTCTGGCGCGCTGATCTGCCATAGAGCTCGTCCTCTAGGTACAGGCCCCGCTCGAGGGATCTGTCCCTGGAGCGGTCGCGGGGCTCCCGAATGGGTATGAACTCGCGATCGTGGGGATCCACGAGTCCGCCGCGATCCAGCGACTGGTAGCGGGTTCCTAAGTGGGATTGGTTCGAGGAAGGCTTTAGTTGTGGGTTTCCGTTTTCAATTCAGCTGGGGTTGCTTCACTGCTAACATAAGACTGTAGTGCTTCGAGGTCAATTTGATACTTCGAATGGTTTTAACTGTTTTAACTGCCTAGAGCATATATTTCCCAGCTCAAATTGACCTCGAAGCCATTGAGGCTCATCGCCGGTTATTACTTGGATAGTCCATGGCATGGGCCATCGGTGGTCTGCTGGCGCTCCGGCTGCGATGGTGACCCGCTCCGGCCGGACTGGTTGGCTCATCCATGTCGCGGTAGTATGGACTGCCCATTGCTGAAATTCACACACACACAGAATTCATGAGGATGACCAAATGAGGATGACGGAACGGGCGGAACAGGTGTAGGTTTTATCTCTGGTGGTGGTGGTGGTTCAGGTGGTTGTATCGTGTTTTCGTTTCGGCCACCGGAACAAAAGGAACGCAACCAAAGAAAACTATACAGAGTGACTTTCTAGAGGTGGCAACTAGTGCAGTGGACTCTCTGCCTCATTTCCTTCGGTTTTTTTCTTTCATTACTTGCTTCGAATTTTTTCAGTGGGATCTGGTTTGGTTCGGGTCAGGTTAGGTTAGGCTAGGTTAGTGGCAGGGAACGCAGGTTACTAAAAAAGGAAATGCAAAGGTAAAGTCAACAAACGAAGGCGGGTAGGAGTGTTTGGCGTGTCCTGGCTTTGCTCTCCGCCCAACCCGCAACTCGCTCGTAAAACCCGCTACCCTGCATGTCCTGGCGCCTCGTTCATATTTCATATTCCATATCCCATATCCCGGACCACCGTCGAGGGTCATAAACTAAGTTTGGCCCGCACGAAATCATTTTGCACGTCGGAGCACGAAACTGAATTTGTGGTTCCGCCAACGTCCTTGTCCGCCACTGTTCACTACTGAGTGCTCACTACTCTGTGTTCGGTGTTCAGTGTTCAGTGTTCGGTGTTCAGTGTTCGACTCATAAATGGTTTATTCAAGCCCCCGCCCCCCGCCCCCGCAATGGCGGCCACATGCTAATTAGCTGGCGTAATCAAGTGCTGACCCCGTTCAAGTGCAAAACAGTTTAGCTAACCATAATTGTAATCCAGTTTGAGGCTTTGATATCAAGCGCGCGGCTCCGGGCAAAGTTTCAGATACAGATTCAGTTCGGTTTCGCTGGCCGGTTGGTTGTTGGGCGATACTTTCCAAGGTGCACTTCTCCGCAGTGGTTTTTCTAGAGTCAAGCGGCTCAGCTGTGGGCCATTTCCTAGTTCTGTTGTCCCGGTTCCCGGTTCTAATGCAATTTCCCGGCAGCTGCGCCACGGAAAATTCCCAGCCCATCCAATCCCCGCGTGGAATTCAATTTGCATGTGTTGGAGTGTCGGGTGTGGAGTGTGGAAAGTGGAGTGTGGAGTGTCGAGTGCCGGTTTTGTGTGGGTTAATTGAAATGAAAATCGGTTGAGATTCGCAGGATGAGTGAAGCGAAACGGAACACGAAATAAATGAAAATCGAATCAAGTGAAATGAAATGAAATCAAATTTATGTACCATGCGCATGCGTGTGATGTTAGACAGAAATAATAGACTTTAGTTAGAAATTGCATTAGTTGAGTCGACTACAAATAGTACGAAATGAAAATAGTTATATATGGCGGTAACAAGTAGAGAGCTAGCGAGCGATACACAAATCTCCAAACATAAGCGTTAATTTTGCAAAATGAATTTTCGGCGCATCGAATTTGGAAATTGAAATTTGGAATTTGGAATTTGGACTGACATCTGCATTGGGTCTGCAGAGCGGGTTGGTACTTTCTAGATCGGTGAAAGCAAAGCCAATTGATCGTAATCGTAATGGGAGGGGTGGTAATAATCAATGTTCGCAGGGCTCTCGCACAAACAACATACTGGCCAAGTGCTGGACTACGTTTGTGCTCAGATTGCGTGGACTAGGTCCAGAGATTCAGTTCGGTTTTGGTTCAGTTTGGGTTAAGTTTCGGGATGGAGTGGTCATTCACCTAGAGGACTTCCGCGTGGCGCTCCGTAGTCCCGGGATGGGGATCGATCGACCGTCGGCAATTCCTGGAGACGCCGCACGCGACCCGGACTGCGCACACCAGAGCTAGTTACTGGATTATAATCGTCACGTGACATAATCCGCGGCTCATCCGCGGCATGCAATCACACACGGGGTGCAAGTGGAATGTGGTACGTGGTACGTGGTACGTGGAACCGGTGGTTGCAGTTGGAGTTGAACTGGGCTACCGGCTGCAACCTTAAATGCAACGTTGAACTTTGATTTCGGTTCTCTGGTTGGTTCGGGTATTGGTATTGGCCTCTCGGTTGATATGCTCGGTTTTGATTGATTAATTGATTGATCTATTCGCCACCTTATCACGCTTTCTCTCTTTCTTGTGCGGCATCTGCAAGTGGAAGAATTGAGAAGAGAACGAAAACATACACACAATAGTACAATGGCACACAGCACAATCTCTATCTCGTCATAAACAATATATTGCATTACGCATACGCCCCGTTGCACACCAAAAGCCAGCAGCCTTCTCCTTTGCATTTAAATTGGCTGCAGCTCAACTTGCATATCCTTAACCTTCTTACCTAAATCTCGGTCGGGAGCTGTCCCACTACCGGCACAAAAGCGCATAAACAAATACGATAAACAGACTTAACAGGACTCAAAGGACGCAGCTTTACATTAGGGCCGCTCTATGCAAATTCGTGTTCTACGGCGACGGCAACAAATCGCATGCAAATTGCCACTCGAGCGGCTGCCTCTCGGTTGCAAGGAAGTCTGCAACCTTAGCCGTCAGCCGGAGTTTATGCGGTTCATCTTCAAATTGGCATAGGCCCTTCTCTAATAAGACAGATATGGCCGCTTAGGGCAATTCTAATGGAAAGCAGTGAACTTTGAACTGCAAAACCTTTTTGATCGCAAGGCATAGCATCCGTTTCAGCTGTCCGAGTAATGAAATTAATAGCAATGTAATGTATAAATAAAAATATATATTTAATAAATAAATAAGAGCACATTTTAAATGAAGGAACAAAAAAAGGTATCCCTTTCTTGCTGATTAGTGCTTTGAAACTATAATAATCAGATGGGCTCTACTTTGATTCTGATTCGGATTTTTATACTGGAATGTCATGAATAGCCAAGTTGCAATTAAGCTGCCCGCATAAACAATGCGGCCCGGTGATAAGACGCAGCGAAATGTTGAGGCTTCGGCTGCTGCGAATGATGTGAATGATGTGAATGGGCCACGGGTGCGGATGTCAAAGGCAGCAGTGCGACAGCTGCAGCGGCTCCAGTGAGTGCTAAATGAATCAGCAAGCCGGAAGCCCATTCACACAGCCATGAGCCGTGGCAAGGAAGCCTCAGTTTGATCCTGTAAATGTGGACGAGGATGTGGATGTGGATGTGCGTGCTCTATGTGTGCGGCAGAGAATGGGGACATAAAAAGATGGAGGAAGCGCAGCCGATGAGGTCAGGATATGGCAGACAGGCCATAAAATATCAGGCCCAGATTCGATTACATCGCCATGCCATTAGGGAGCCCCAGGCAGTGCACTTTGCTGGGCAAACACATGCAGATATCCCGATATCCAGATATCCAGATATATACTGCCAGCTGCACTTGTCTGTAGATGCAGAGAGGGTGACGGATGGCACTTGGAGCTGCATACTTGGGGGACCTGGAGCTGGAGCTGGTAGCTGCTGGCCACTACGATTGCTGTCCGTCCGGAGGCCATCCTATCAAGCTATCTGCTCCGGGGCCTCCACCCCAAAACAAACATGTTGAATAGCCCGAAAAAAACAATAAAAAACCGAGAGGCGTCCCCGGAGAAAGCCGGAGAGCGAACTCACCACACTGGAGGCAGTGCGCAAATGCGTGCCATCTCACCAGCGGACTTCCCTTCTCCCTTTCTCCGTTTCTCAGTTTCTCCGTTCTTCTTGCTGCTTTCTCCGTGCGCTCCCGCTCACAACAATAGCGTCATCGTAAAATATTTGCCGTATTTTGTTGTTACCACTGCCCCAATATATGGATTGGCGGCGTTTTCTTAGCCACACACACACACACACGCACACACAGGGACACACACTGACTCAGACCACATGTAAAATAAGGTTGAAATTTGAAATCAATAAAAGTTATTCGGCTGATCTAAAATTAGAGCAGGCAACTCAAATAACAGCCGAAAGAAATAAATAATAAAGGCAAACACCGCATCATCGACACGCAAAGGAGGCGATTGGCTGACAAATCATGCGAGCATTCGAATGCGTCGAGCCTGCCCCACAAGACACCATCCATAGATCTAATTACAGGTTTTCAAATTGCTTGCCAATCTCCGCATGATTGATTGATTGATTGGTTGAACGGGGCGTATGGGTAATGCATGGAAAACAGTCTAAAATTACTCGCTAAACTAAGTTACTCGGCTACGTTCTAGGACTGCAACTGCAACTAGGGCTAGGTAATCGGGGATCGTACTTAATATTCAGCTGGAGTATTCATCGGTGGAATAAAAGAAATCACAACAGATACGGAAATGGAGTTATATAGAAGTTACACAGAGAACAAAGGCAGGCACAAAAACAGATTACTCATAACTGATTACGGTTAAATTATGGCGGCTCCTGTTACACAAGGCGTACGCACAAATCAGAAATCAATATCGCTTATGGTTCACATTACAAATTGAAGTTTTTGCATGTGTGTGTCTGTGTGTGTGTGTGTGTGTGTGTGTGCGTGTATCATGGCGTCAGTGTGAGCGTGGGTGTCGTTACGTATACGTAATACGGTTAAATAGCTCACCCGCTTTGCTTAGGCGATGAATTTTGAATGATTTTCCTTAACGAACTGCGGGCGAATGAAAAACTGGCTAAGCTAGCTGCTGCTCCTGCTCCTGCTCCGACTCCTGCTCCTCGACTTCCGGTTTTCAGAGCCCGCACACACTGACGCACTCGCGCTGCAACTACATGTGTGTGTGGGCGATTTGTTGCTCGTCCTTATGGCCGTTGCCAATGCAATGGTGCTGGTGACTGCGAATGTGATTGTGTTTGTGTTTGTTGTCAGGCGGCTCAATGGGCATTTCCGGTTCCGGTCGGCTAGCTGCTTGCACTAATTTAGTTGATGACACTGGCTTAGTTAGTTTGTTGACTTTCGTGGCGTGCGCTCGCTGGCTAATTGCATTTTGTGTTTATGATTTAAACGGCTTTTGTTTTATGTACATGGCTGTGTGGGAGGATAATTAAACCGCGTGAGTTTCCAGCTAAACTAATTAAAGTCTTCATTCACTGAGTGCGTTTTTTGTGTTTCATTTATTTTTTCAAGTGGTTTGGTGGCTTCGTGCCCAACGAGGATATTTTTTACACTCGTTCCCGCTGACACACATTTGAGCCCCACACACACACACACACAGCGATACGGAGAGATAGGGAGTTGAAGAGTGCTCCGCAAAATGGAGTGGAGAGTGTTCTACGCACGAGTTACGCTCACGAACAACGTAAGGTTCGACGTAACGAAAGGGGGTGGGTGAGGGGCAGAGGGGGCTTGGGGCTGAGCGGGTGGTTTGGGTGGCTCCACATTATGCTGGCGCCCCACCTTCCGCCACTTCATTCGCTCGGCTCTAGGCTCTGTTATACAGCTTATAGCTTTTCAAACTTAATGTCTCTTTGTAGGCGTATGCGTGTGTGTGTCTGTGTGTGTTTGTGTGTGTGCGGTTTTGTGGGTGTGCGAGTGCGAGTGTGTGTGTATAACTCGCATGGCTTATATGTAGGTTGAAGCAATTTATAATAATTTTTTTGCTTTCGCCCCAATCGATAGGCAGCGTTTAGTGGGGCAGATGACTCCTTTTGATTGACAGTGTGTGTTTGTACGTCTGTGTCACACACAGATATACATGAATATATGTATGTATATACGTATAAAGGGAGTGCGTTGAATGGTATCTTGAGTTTTGTCACACGATTTTGAGCGCTATAGGCGGCTTTTTGGCCTGCTCGATTTGCTTTTAACTGGCTTTTTTCGCACTTTTTGCAGGAAATCACTTTTCTGTATCCAGGGAGCAGCCTCTAGCGCTATTGCTGCCACTCACGCACACTCACTCACGCGCACACATACACACACATTCACGGGGACTTTGTGCACTTGATCGAATCACTTTTCGCCAGTCAATGGAATTTTCTCGCGCTGTTCTTTCACTTTTCTCCGCTGCGAATGCAATTAAGTTAGACTTTTCTTGGCCTTATACATTTCTCGGCCAGATACATATACTGCGCGTGTGTGTGTGTGTGTGTATGTGCATGCGGGAGTGTACGCGTGTATGTGTGTTCCTAACCCAAAAATGTATTGTGCGGCAGCTGAGGTGGCCCGTTTTCGGCAACGCCGTTGTCCAACTAACTACCCTCAAAGAACTGAGCGCCGCTCGTGCGAGCCAGTCGCTAATATAGTCGCCGATTCGCTGGCAAGTGGTGAGTTTTCCGACTTTTCCGCACTGCCACCTCCCCCGCCCTTTCCCTGGCCAAGGAACGCTGAGAGCGCGGCGGAGAGCACGGTATTGCAATCAATGAATTTTCCTTTTGGCGCTCGCGCAGTTCAGCGACTGCTGGCATCTCGAGCTGCCAGCTTAATGGATTCTGGAATTCCAATACGAAAATATAGAGCCAGCGCATTGCGTTACGCCAACCGAAAGTGGGTCTTACGTATTGCTCCACATTCAGCGTTGGCAATGCTGCGCGCCAACTATTTAAACCGCCCTCAAAGGTAGGCTACGAAATCAGTGGTCCTAGGAACAGGTCTTTATCATAATGATAGAAATAGATTATACCTTGATAATAGATTATTTTTGAAACCCTTTTAAGAAATAAAAAACCAGAAATATAAAACCGAATGATAATAGATTATTTTTGAAACCCTTTTTAGGATATAAAAAACCAGAAATATAAAACCGAATGTATTAGCAAGAATAATTGTATGCAACATTTTATTCCACCCAAAGGGGTTCTTTTGAGGGAATACTTCAACACGAATTTGGATCATATGAACTAAAACACCGCTTTGGTTGTGGATGTTAACTTGTTATGTTTATTCTGGAATGTGTCTGTATGGTGGCGCGGTGCGTATCTGTGGGTGTAATACATTTCTCATAATACTTAATCGACGCATTTCCTATGACATAGCCCTGTTTCAAGCGATCTGCCCCGGCCGCATCTATTTACAGGTGAACTCCTCGTAGCTCTCGTCGCACTCATCGCACCTGACCTCGCAGCACCAGCGGAACTGGCAGCGGCACTGCGTGGTGCGTCGAATGTGCTGCGTGCTGTGGCCACGCCCACAGCAGAGCAGGTCGCAGCTCTGGGGGCCGTGGCCGGTCCGCTGGCAGGTTCGGCCGGCGGTGCCCTGGCTGCCCGTCTGCAGACTCCGCTCGCAGTAGTTGGGCGACGCCTCCAGGTAGATCAGCTCCATGCGCTTCGGCCAATCGAGGACCGGTTTCTGGGCACGAGCGGTGCCGGCATGCTTCTTTCTGCAAGCAAATGACGAGGTAGGATGTGCTAAGTACTTTCAGGAATATGTTAAGCAACTATTTCTTGATGCATGTTTTTTTTTTTAATTTTCTGGGATACATTCAACATTCTACACGATATGTACTTAGGATTTTGAAAATATTAATTATTAATTTTTGATTAACAAAGGGTCATACTGTTATATATTTGTATTTAAGCATTATCTTAAATTAATACTGTAATATGATTTATTTATTAGAATGCGTCTAAGGGCCGAACCAGATATATAATATCATGGTTAACTTCTCACCTGCTTAATACTAATCTCAGTCCACGTTTGCCTTTGACGGCTTGAACAGTTTTGGCTTTTTGATACTTCAGCATGAGCCTATCGCCGATCAGGCGAAAGGGCGGCAGGCTCTTCCAGCAGGTCTTCATCACACAGGAGCCACTGACGCCATGGCACTTGCAGTCCGTGCGCAGCATCTTCTTGACCAGCTGGGAAGGCACAAAGGTAACTATGTAATATTGTAATATTTAATACAAATGCTAGTCGTACGCACCGTTCTTCCTGCCCGGTTATTGTGCAGGTTCATCAGCGTGCGGGAGTCGCGCTCCAGTTCGCGGGCATCCATGAATCGGCGCGCATACCGCATCCCGAAGTCCACGTCCGCCGAACAGCCGCCCCACTTCCAAGGCTCGTCGGGCGTACTGCCGCCAGTGGGCGTGGCCTTGTGCCGCACATCGCAGCCGCAGGCGGAGATGTTGCCGCGGGCACAGGCGGCGGTCACCGCGTACGCCGCTCCGGCACTTGCTATCGCGTAGGTGTAGGCCGCCTCCCGCGAAGCTGGAACAAATTAAAGGGTTAGTTTATTAAATTGTATCAAATATTATTTATTATATAAATTAGAAACTTTGTGCTCATGTGCAAATTTTGTAGGAAAATCTAGAATCGTAGTTATAGAATCAGTATAGCATACAGCATAGCAGATGGTAACTAAATGCCCATCAATTGTCTCAGTTGAACGTAGATTTAGGAAGTTATTTTTAAAGCAACAGAAATAAATAGTTAGAGATGTTATGTTGTAATGCCAAAGACACTAGAATATTTCTAGTTATTATTCTAGTGTCTTTGGTAATGCTTATATTGGGTAATTGGATCACAAGCTCTAAACTGAAATTATACTGTCAAGACAAACATACTTTTTGCAAATATATGCTTGCTTTAGTGAGTGTGTGTTTTAGTTAATACTTTAAAGCAATCAAAATAAGCCGTAATTAGCTAAAGCATATTGTTATTGAAGAGAGCTTTGCCCAAATATTATATAATAATATTGTCGACCGAATTTTGTTGAAAGATACATTGGTTGCACTCCAGATGGCCACTGTATGACTGCCCGCGTGGGATTGGGATTGGGATGCAGATGCAGATGCACTCACCTGTGGGTATGACATGGGCGAAGACGTTGCGCTGCCACACCTCCGAGCAGTTCCAGCGGTGTCCCCGGAACTGGTGCTGGCACTCCTGGGCGCCCAGCTGGTGGCCCTCGCCCAGGGCGATCAGGGCGTCGGGCATCTCGCGGCACATATTTCGCTGGCCCGGGGTCAGGCCGGGTATCCGGCCACAGAGCATGGCGGATGTAAAGCTGGACACTAATCTGACAAGAAGGCAAAACAAACAGAACCATAAATAACACCCTGTAGAGCCATAACAGTCAAATAAATAAACAAATAAATAAATGACAAACCAACGCCGATCGATCGAGCGATCGAGCGATCGATCCCAATCCAAACCGATCGTTCGATTGGCAATGGCTGCAAAAAGCTGAAAAGCTGAAAAGCTGAAAAGTCGTGCACAGCAAACGCCGGCGGCTCTTTTGGGCTGGCTGAATGCATTTTCATTTCCATTTCGTTTGCCATTGGAGGGTTCAGTTTCTGCTCCGAGCTGTGAGCTCCAAGCCGCGAGCCCCAGCTCCAGATCTCAGCCAATCGAGTCGAGTCTGTCCAAGATTAATGCGCTGCAGTTGTCTGCCGCACAGGGACAAATTTATGTGTAATTTATTAATCGGACTACATGCGCTTTCTTGAAAATAAAGAAGATAGAATGCTTGATAGAAAAATATTTGGAGGTATGCCACTTCAAAATCCGATTAGGATAAGTTGAGCTTTGGAGTATCAACTTCAGCCTTGGGACATTTTCTAATTTTTTCGAATTTTTAACATCATACATCAGAAAAATTACAAAAAAATTGAAAAAAAAAAATATTTCTAAATTTGAATGCAGATTTTTAGAGAATTGCGCCAGAAACATTTAGAGGTATGCCACTTCAAAATCCGATAAAGATAAGTTGAGCTATGGAGTATCAACTTCGGCCTGGGACATTTTTTAATATTTTCGAATTTTCAGAAAAATGACATCAGAAAAATTACAAAAAAATTGAAAAAAAAAAAATTTCTAAATTTGAATGCAGATTTGTGGAGAATTGCCCCAGAAACATTTAGAGGTATGCCACTTCAAAATCCGATTAAGATAAGTTGAGTTATGGAGTTTTGAACTTCAGCCTTGGGGCATTTTTTAATTTTTTCGAATTCTTAACATCAAAAAAATTAGAAAAAAATTGAAAAAAAATAAATTTCTAAATTTGAATGCAGATTTTTAGAGAATTGCACCAGAAACATTTAGAGGTATGCCACTTCAAAATCCGATAAAGATAAGTGGAGTTATGGAGTTTTGAACTTCAGCCTTGGGGCATTTTTTAATTTTTTCGAATTCTTAACATCAAAAAAATTACAAAAAAAATGAAAAAAAATAAATTTCTAAATTTGAATGCAGATTTGTAGAGAATTGCCCCAGAAACATTTAGAGGTATGCCACTTCAAAATCCGATAAAGATAAGCTGAGTTATGGAGTTTTGAACTTCAGCCTTAGGACATTTCTTAATTTTGTTCAATTTCTACAACATTATACATCAGAAAAATGACAAAAAAAATTGAAAAAAAAAAATTTCTAAATTTGAATGCAGATTTTTAGAGAATTGCGCCAGAAACATTTAGAGGTATGCCACTTCAAAATCCGATTAATATAAGTTGAGTTATGGAGTTTAGAACTTCAGCTTTGGGACATTTTTAAATTTTTTCGAATTTCCACAACATCATACATCAGAAAAATGACAAAAAAAATTGAAAAAAAAAAATTTCTAAATTTGAATGCAGATTTTTAGAGAATTGCGCCAGAAACATTTAGAGGTATGCCACTTCAAAATCCGATTAATATAAGTTGAGTTATGGAGTTTAGAACTTCAGCCTTAGGACATTTCTTAATTTTGTTCAATTTCTACAACATTATACATCAGAAAAATGACAAAAAAATTGAAAAAAAATAAATTTCTAAATTTGAATGCAGATTTTTAGAGAATGGCGCCAGAAACATTTAGAGGTATGCCACTTCAAAATCCGATAAAGATAAGTTGAGTTATGGAGTTTTGAACTTCAGCCTTAAAACATTTCTTAATTTTGTTCAATTTCTACAACATTATACATCAGAAAAATGACAAAAAAATTGAAAAAAAATAAATTTCTAAATTTGAATGCAGATTTTTAGAGAATTGCGCCAGAAACATTTAGAGGTATGCCACTTCAAAATCCGATAAAGATAAGTTGAGTTATGGAGTTTTGAACTTCAGCCTTAGGACATTTCTTAATTTTGTTCAATTTCTACAACATTATACATCAGAAAAATGACAAAAAAATTAAAAAAAAATAAATTTCTAAATTTGAATGCAGATTTTTAGAGAATTGCGCCAGAAACATTTAGAGGTATGCCACTTCAAAATCGGATTAAGATAAGTTGAGTTATGGAGTTTTGAACTTCAGCCTTGGGACATTTTTTAATTTTTTCGAATTCTTAACATCAAAAAAATTACAAAAAAATTGAAAAAAAAT